AGCTGGCCGTTCGGGTCAAACAGTCGGACCATTCGAACCGGTAACCGGACTCCTGACCGGTTCGGTCAGCGGTTCGTTTTTAAAAACCATGTATTGTATATATTAGTAGATCCATGGATTTCTCCAAAAGGAAAAGTGGAAATTTAAAAATCATAAAAATTGTTTTAATGGTTTTGATGATAGATAAGAATCATAAAATGGATCTATGAATGATATTTCAAATCAATTGATCCAACAACAATTTCAATTAAAAGAATGTTTTTTTTTTTCTAATTTTTGGTAATTTAGATAAATAAGTATAATAAAAAACAATTATTTTAGTAATTAAAATTTATGGCTTCCATATAATATTATAAGTATGTTAGAAATTCTAATATGGATCTGATATTTTTAAATTAAGATTATATTGTTGTGAATTATTAATTTATAATTTAATTTACAATAAATAACAATATATTTATTATATACGGAAACAAAAGTACATCGTTTACAACATATAAGTTACATTAATAATTATTAAAAAGTTATATATCTATTATCTAGCATATTAAAAATTAAAGATTTATTTGATTTATTTTTTAGTTATATACATAATAAAAATAATAAACTATAGATTAATTAATTTAGTAATTAAAATATAATAATTGAATATGATTTGTGTCTTTGGATTTTGGTTGATGCATTATTAATAAAGTTATTATATGATATTTACATGTCCCGATATGTTATTCTTGAAGGTTTAAAGTATCGATACATCCATTATGCACAAACATGCATATTGGGTGTTTTGGTATTATGAAAAACCTTTTTTTTTTTTTTTTTTTCTTTTACTTTGATCAGGGGCTGGTTTAAGCATTGTTTAACATTTAAAAATAAGAGTTTTGGGAAAATCCTTGAAATAGGCATATCAGCCACTTGTCGATACAACACGTACGATATGCCTAAATAGGGATGAGCAAACAATCCGAAAGACTAAACCAATAAAAAAACCGACCGAAATCAAACCAAAAAATTGGTTAATCGAATCGGTCGGTTCAGTTTCAGTTCAGTGTTTTTAAAAAACCGAAAGTATCGGTTAACCAATATAAAAAACCAGCGGTTAATCGAACCGACCGGTATACATGTTTTCTATATATTTTATATATTATAAATTAATAAATATACATTATATATAAATATATATTTATAATATATTATATATTATTTAAAATATAATATTTTATATATATTTATTTTTTTATTATATATTTATATATATATTTAAAATATATATTATAAAAACTAAAAAACCGAAAAACTGACAAACCAAACCGACGGTTAACTGAATAACCGATTGATTTTAATTTGGTTCCGGTTATCAATTTTCCAAAAAATGGTACTACCAATTTGGTTCAAAAAAAAGGCCCACGGTTCGGTTACCCAAACCGTGCGCACCCCTATGCTTAATATAGGGTGTATCATGTTAAAATTTTGAACCTTGATTCTTCATATAAACTATTAAGGTATGTGCTTCTTATGTGTTTAAACCTCATTAATGATTATTTCAACCTTAAATTTAATATTATTTATATATTTATAAGGTTTATAAGAGTTTCTCATTGTTTCCATGCTTATCCAAATCCCTTCAATGTATCGCAATACATATCTAATTCCAACGTAGATACCAATATCGGGCCTTGATCTGGTGATTTTATTTTGCTAACTTGCATTAACCTGATTAAAAAATAAAACTACACATTAAGAATCCTTAATTGGGATGGTGTTTGAAAGCGTGAGTGTTTTTTGGTACTGATTTTCAAGAAATAATGCCCATACTTTCAATACCCGTTTTTCACAAAAAGGTACTTCTGCTATATAGGCAATGAGCAATACTATGCTGTTTGGTAAGGTGATTATCATCACTGTTTTTCATGTATGTGCTGACAGGTAAGCACCACATAGGATACACATCAGTCAACCGTTGGGAGAAACGGTTAACCGATGCACGAAATATTAAATTTGGCGTTTCATACATCAGTGGATCCTGATTTTTCAATAAACACCTTAGCCAAACATTCATACATATGAACATTTATCAAATGCCTATGTGAATCCGATGTAGCATTGTTTTTTTTCAAAATGGCTACGATTCCACTGAACAAGGTTACAAGGTCATCAGACTGTGAACACATCCACTGAACAAGGTTACAAGAGGATGCTGACAAATGGAAGGTCAACTTGGGGCTATTGCTTAACTTAACTGTGAACACATCCACCAAATGATTTTAGACTATGCCACCAGTACTGTCGTCACATTTTTAGGAGTTCGAATCTGCTAACCACAATACATTGCTGGCCACGTTCGCTCAATCGCATATTTAGAACATCAGTTGTGTTTTACATCGTTGATATTCTTGATGTGCGATGAATGGGCAGGACTAGCAATGCAATGTATTGTGATCAGGAGATCGGGACTCAGACAATAGACCCACTAAATTCTGCACCTATCTTATTCTTATCAACACAGTTCTTGTTATTGTTGTTTTTTTTTCATACTATTCATGCAAGCTAATATGCATCATTCAGAGTTTGGTAGTGATGGTGTACGATCTGGTCGCTTTTAGCTGAATGGCAATTTGGACGTCGGTCTGCTTAGATGGCCGGTCGAACTGCATGAAAGTATGATCAGAGGACTTGGGGTGATTTATCTGGTGTAGGCACTCCGATGCTTAAGTTAGCAAGTCTTGTTTGCGAGCTGAAAAGCTTTGTAACCAAGAGAGCTAGTGAGCTAATATCGCATGTACATACCTTGTAACATTGGGGTTGAAGCCCTTATATAGGCGAACTATCATAGGTCTTACGAAACACCTCCGAAATCCCTGGCCCGCATTACCAAGAGCCCGTTCCACACCCGGAAATGGACTTCGTGTGGCTGATAAGCCTCATTGAGTCCGTCCGATCCGGGTGGGATGAGGATGAAGTTTTGCAGACGTGCGACGTGATCCCGAAAAGGGTGGAGACAGTTGGTTAACTTCTAAAAGTGGGCTACGTGTCACCTCGGCAGGTCGGGCCTTCACAAGCTGCTTGGACCTCGATCTTGGCCGAGGTGCCTGAGGTACCCGAGCTGACCTGACCTGCTGAGGTGGTAGAAAATGCCGAGTCACCGTCTAATCATCAAATCATTCCACATATCCACATGCTAACAGGTCAGGCCAAATCACCCCTCGTCATGTAGGATTATGATATGCTCTTCAGACCTGAAAACTAAACCTACTACACTTGGTTCCATTATGTAGGTCAGTTGTCCATCTAGTACTTTACCCTCATTCATTTGTAACACAACAGCTATGTATCATCATTTTTCAAGAATTCTTGTTATAATCATATATACCACCCACCTTGGCAGTTTTTTGAATTCTCTACATAGCTATTTTTCTCGTGCAGAACAATAGCAAGGATACATTAAATGTAGAATATCATGATGTTAGAGGCTTTGATACATTGCATGTAGAATATCTTGTTAGAGGCTTGTGCATTTGCTAAACCAACAAAAACCATTACAACATTTCACCTATCAACTTATTTTTAGGTTGAACAGTTATTTTACATGGTATCAAAGCCTGATTGATCAAATGGTCTATTGTTATGTTCAATTCTCGTCTTTCCATTGTAATTAATTAAACCATTACAAGTTATAAGTGGATTTGTACTTGTCCACGCTTTAAGCCCAATTGGCTCTTACATGAGGGGAGATGTTAGAGAATAAAAATTCTATTCAAGGACCTCAGTTAACAGCTTAAGCTTTTAGGTTAAATGATTTATTGACAACCTAAAAGGATGTGGTTTTAAGTTTTGAATAAAGATTCCTGTAGCAAAGGATTATCATGTTTTCCTTCTTAATTACGCTTAGATTTTTCCATCACAATACTGTGTTTTCTTATAGAATTGAAAATTCATAACTTCAGTTGTTATTTCTACTTCAACAGATGTATAAGTTCATTGATCAAGGTTTTTTTTTTTTTTTCAAAATGTTCAAAAACAAAAAAAAGGGAAAATTCATTCTACACTACCTGTATTATTACAAGGAGCAAAGTGATAAGATCATGCTTCATCAAGGTAAGGAAATTATCAACAGTTGAAATGTTGTATGCTTTTTTCTTCCTCCACTAACCCTGTTTCTTAGACATTAATATGCCAATTGACCAAAACACCCACTAAATTGTTTTTTTGAAACACAATCATACAAATTGGCAGCAAACACCCCCTTCAGCAACTAAAAATAGAGACTTTCGCCACTTAGATTAAAAGGTAGCTTTCATATTTATTACCAGAATTACCCATCTCATCTCCAAAGTCGAAAGCCTTCACCATCTCCTTGTCTTTTCATTCTAATTCCTAAATGATTTGAAACCAATTTTATTCCTTTACTTTTCCACTTGGATTAATGGGAATGCGAGATTGAAGCCATGAATTTCTCAAGGAAACAAAGGAAGGTTCTCTTGGAAAATCACAGAGAAAGAGACTAACAGAAAATGAAAATTCAAAATATTAATGAGGTTAGAAAAATGAGTTCCCCAATGAACTTAACAATGGAAATTCAATGAGATTTTCCTTCATTTCTTTCTTTCTGTTAACTTTTTTTTTTTTTTTTCAAGACCAAGGGAAAAGACATTATTTGTCTTAAAAAGGTCATTATCTAAGAAGAAACTAGCTGGCTGGATCATACTATCAAGGAACCCATCCCAATGTCTGTGTTGCTCCTTGTCGGCTTAATGGAACCAATGCAGTTATTCTGCTTTGTAATTGGTAAGACTAATTGTGATGCTGATGCATGATACTTTTGGACCAATACCATTCTGATTCTAGCCTCAAGTTTCCTTCAGATTGTTCAACAGTTATCTGTCTGCTCTTTGTGAATTACACAATTCAAGAAGATCTACAACATAATTATCTGCTCAAATGATAAATGCTCTGAATTAATGGTCAATTGCTTGAGAAAGAGAATTAAACAACCAGAGAAATTTCAAAAGCAAGTCACCCATTCAAAGATATTTTTTTCCCAGAACCTTCAGAGAAGGGGATAAATTTTCATTACATACAAAACGTTACAAGAAGTCAAGAAAAAAAAAAAATCAAGGTTTTGTATGGCTCCATTCCTATAGAGTATAGAAAAAGAAATTGAGAACTGACAGAGCAGCTGCTTTAATTTTAGCCACTCCTGGTGCTACTGCTACCGGCCTGATAAAACTGACAAGCCAAATGAGTAGGCTGATGTGGGAGGGAGCTCAGCCTCCCCTTGGCGTGTTGGTGGTGCTGGATTTGCAGCTCCTTCACCACCGCCGGTTGGTTCCTCCTCGATCGACAAGAGATCAACGACGATCATTTCTGGCTCAGGTGGCCTGTCTATAACCACACGCCCTTCAAGCATCTCAACAACACGGGCCATGGTAGGCCTAAGCTTGTCTCTTTCTTGTATGCACCACAGAGCAACATACACCAAGACTCTGACCTCCCTCTCATCAATCATTCCTTCCTGCATTAGTCTCTCATCAACCACCTCCAAGAGCTTCCCTTCTCTCACCTTCTGGTTCACAATTCTGGGGAAGTATGACCATTTCCTCTGAGATTTATCACCACCTCCAACCAAATTTACATTCCTCCGGCCACCAACAATCTCAAGAAGCACCATACCGTAGCTATAGATATCGGATTTTTCAGAGATTCCTTGCTCCAGGAGCCACTCAGGAGCTAAGTACCCCCTAGTACCTCGGACAGTCGTAATGATTCTACTCTGATCCTTGCTCATCAATTTTGACAACCCAAAATCTGATACAATTGCTCGGAAATCTTCATCTAAGAGTATATTCTCCGGCTTAACATCAAGGTGCAGGATCTTCTTCCGGCAATCATGATGAAGGTATGCAAGCGCCTTAGCGACATCAATGGCGACTCTGTACCTCAAGTTCCATGGTAAGCATCCCCTCTGGGATCTGCGGCTTCCACCCGGCGGGAAGATCCAGGTATCCAATGAACCATTGTGTATGAACTCATAAACAAGATACCGAGGCCCTTCTGGGACGCAACAGTAGCCGATGAGGCGCACGAGATTGACATGCTGCACGCTTGCAATAGCGGCCACCTCTGATCGGAACTCCCTCTCGCCGTACTCTGCGCCTTCGATTCGTTTCACGGCAACCGCCGTGCCATCATCAAGGATCCCCCTGAAGACAGAAGCGGAGGCACCTTTTCCGAGAATCGCCCGGAAATTGTCTGTTGCATCCTCAATCTCTTTATATCTGAACTTTGTAGGAACTCCTGCAACCTTCCTGAGAAAGCTGTACTCGATCCTAAGCTCTTTTCCTTCCAAAGAAAATCTCCTCTGTAATGAATTCCGACGAAGGTCAACACGGTTTTGGAGATATACCCATATGAAGACGGAAAGAATTCCGGCAATACCAGCTCCGAAAATAAGGAAGAAAGACCTGCTTAGTTTCAAACAGAGACGGGCAACTACAAGCACGATTACGAGCGTGATGACCGCTGCAACTGCGATGATCTTAACCTTCCTTCCCTCCATTTACAAGTAAAGAGGGAGGAAAAGGTTCACCATGTGAGGACCTGGTTTTCTTGTTAGGGAGGTGGAGCCGTGGAGGGTTGGTGACATCCATTTGAATAATTAAACCTTTCGCGGGACCCAGCTCTAATTCAAGGCATCCATCGGTCTGACTCTCCCGCTGTAAATGATTTTACAAAAACAACCAAGAAGTTCATGTAACCTGGTCAATTAACCATTGTGAAAAAAGTTCTTTCTTGTTCTTCTTATACTCTGAAAATATGGGTTGTCTTTTTACGGTTGTTCGGATCAATTGACATATTTTCTGTACTGATGCTTCTCTTCTCTGATCAACAAACATAAGTTAGCTTGTAAATAGGGCTGGGTTGACCTGAAAGAACATAGAAGTAGAACTAAGACGATCAGAAAACTATTATACAGGGCAGCCCCTGTTCCAAGCTTCTAATTGGTCACTTCTGTGCCTGACTTTTTAGACCAATTATGATAGGGTTGAGACTGGGTCTAATTGCGAGCTCTTCTGCCGGTTCCTGAGTCCGGACAAAGGAGGAGGGTTCATAGAAAAGTCTTTTTTATTGGCCGAAAGATAATTAATTTGGGCTACCAGGGTTTTTCACCAAACATTTCTTATAGAGTCAAAAGCTCCCACTTCAAAACCCTCCCAAACCGGCACTGGGTTTTACAGTTCAAACCCAATAAACCCATTAATTTAAGGTCAGCTCTGAGGCTATCACTTAACAAACTCTATAGGATCTGGGTCAGGACTCAGGACTGTGTCTGTGTTCTTATACGGGTTTCCTGTTAGATTTTTTGAGGGATTTAGGAGAGGGGGCTGGTTAGTGATTATAATATCAAATGGGTTTGTGCTCTTTACTTCTCAATAACCATTTCATGACCATATCTGATGAGGTGGTTACTGGTTACCAATGAATTGTTTAGTCCATGGTTGATAGACAGTCTGGATCGGTGACTAGGAGTTGAGTCTATAATCTATATAATAAGATGATTCCATCTCATTTTTCCTGGTTTCTCTCCTCTTCCACATTCTAACTGCTTTTGTCCATATGACGTCGGTTGGATTAGGAACTACAGAAAAGTAATAAATAATTCTAACCGACCAGCTCTCATTCAAAAAAGGACTACTCTTTGGTTTTTTCTTTTTTTTTCAGACTTGGAATTGTTCAAACTCGTTTTTTTTTTTTTTGTGTTTATGAAGCTAGAAATTAAAGTGAGACAACTTGAGAATGATCAAACCTATAAGCCTCGCACCATCAAATCCTTTAACACCATTTCTTCATTAAACTACATCAACTTTAACTTGGCTTCATTGTCCACCATTGGAAGGAAGGAGGATTTTCCTCCTTCCATGAAGGAGCCAAAGTTTTTCCTTGAATTTTCATCCAATGTCTACTCCTCAACCCAAAATGATTTCTCAAAGGCATCACTAGTCCCTTATTGGCCTAATAGTGTACACTACCTAACCCAAGGTACAAAGAAAATGTCACAGGAATTATACATATCCCATGTTTGGTGTGGTTGCATCTTGCATGTGGTCATCAGTTAGGTCTTCCTACTATTAAATGCCCCTCGGATGACTGTCCTAAGCAATTTTTTTTTTTACTTATGCTGTGTTTGGTTGCAATACAAATAAATTTACACTGATACAAAACCATGGCAGTGCATATGATTTGAGTGTAAATTCTAGCCTATTTTTTTGTTTCAAATTTTAGCTTATTTTGTTGAATTGCAGTACAACATGAAGCAGGATAAAGTAAAATCCAAAACAAAATTAAAAAAGAATTTACATTTTTTACATTTACACTCCTATGCATTTGTATTAGTGCAAATAAATTTGCACCGCGTCCAAACACAGCCTTAAAAATCTATAGGTTCAGCCTTCAGGGAGTGGTTTCAGAACCATCTGTTGGAACATAAAAGTAAATAATTGGGACTCATGAACCAGAACAGAATCATGGTCATCAGGCAAAAACACTATAATCAATCAGATGGTCCGAACGAAATCCCTGAAAATAGGATGGACTCCCAGGCCATGGGCCATTGGGTGTTATGACAGTTGTCGTTGAGTGTTTCTGAAGGTTTCGTGCAATGTTGTTGGTTTTGATTGAGATTTGAGATAGCTCGAAAATTACAGTGAATGGAAATTCAGGTAGATGGCTGAGTGGACCAGGAGTTCTTTGGCCATTTAATGAGCTCACCAATTGGTGGCTCTCTGGTTTCCGTTAAGAAAGGGAGGTCCAACACTTTTAATGCGTGTGTGTATTTTCTTCTGCCAAGTTGAGAATTTAAATTTGAAGCGGCCAGTTTTGACCGTGCAATTGTTGATTTGTTTCAGAGCTCGGCCAAGGCCAGTGTATGTGGACCGATGAGGACCGTGAAAGTTGAAACAATTGCACAGTCAAAACTGGCCTTGGCCGAGGAGGACTGTGCAATTGTTTCAATGGGTTGAGTTCTTCTCTACCTTGGCTTGAAGATGAAGATGAACTTACTTGGCCAAAAATCAATTTTGAACAGTTGTCAAATTGCCAAGTTCTATTCAAATTCTTTAAAACTTCTATAAAATAAATGAATTAACCAATTAATCCGAAGACGTTGGATCGTTATGGACGGGGACCCTCTCTTAATGGGACCCAATATCAGTAATTTTCCCTAAATCTAAAGATTAGATGGTCAAAGGAAAAAGACAGACGAAAAGTTCTGACTGAAACAAAGGTGAAATTACCAAACACACATACAAACACCTCATAAATAAAATGTTTGGCAAAGGTACATACACTTTGATTTAGGGGAACTATCAATTAATATGATATAAAACGGGAGGGAGGGGGCGGCCATGACAAAATTCCAGTCCAACACAATCAAACTGCTCTTTTATCATCGGAAAACTATGGAATTCCCTTTCAATAAGGCTGTGTTTGGTTTCAAGGAAAAAGTAGGGAAACCTTTACAAATCTTGTATAGGCTTCCCTACCTTTCCTTTCCTTTCTCTACTTTTTTCCTTCAAACCAAACATAGCCTAAGAGAATCATATCCAAGTTAGCCTCCATCGTCTTCTTTATCAGCATATAAGATAAGCCTTCTTTTGAGCTCTAGTTGAGCCTCGCACAGATGTATCAGCCGGTATATTCCTTCTTCAAACCTACCACTAGCCTTTTCTCAGTCGAATCAGCAGTGAAACAGCTCCCGTCTGGACTGCCAGGGTGCAGTCTGAAAGGACCTTGGCCAGCGCTTGGATAATGGAATTGAGGGGAAGGGTAGTCTTCATGCCTCCTGAAGGAGTAAGGACGGGAGAGAGAGGATCTGATTATTAGCATAGCCAAGTGACCAACAAGGGAACCGCTCCATCTATTTGTGTAAATAAATTCTTGTTTTGAGGACAGCTTTTCATGAGGGAGGCCAATGAATGGGGGGCAGGGGGGCTTTATGCTGAACTTCATGGGACCCTGGTGAAATGGATCTTAGAATTAACTCCCACCTGAGAATCTGGTCCTCGCAATTGAATGGTTTTTCAAATATTTCGCTGGTTGGGATTATGCCATTCTTCTTTGATTCTTTCTGAAGCCCTTTTGGCAATAACTTTCCTTGACGATTAGATTAATGATTCAAATCGAGGGTGGTAATACATGAATGTCACAAAACTTCATTTTCATTTTCAAGCCTTATCTTCTTGATTCCCTGTTTTGACACTTTTGCAATGCCATGACTATATTGAATATTGATGAATAAAAATCATGAAAAAATAATAGGTAAAAGGTTTAGCAATTCCCTTGATGTGCTGAAAAGATGATCTTAAAAATCAAAATGCAGCCATCAATTATTTGATGATGCATAGACAAAGGGTAAAAGAATTCAATGGTCCAATGGATAACCAGGCCCACAAACAAAATCAAAGACCCAAAGATTGTCAATATGGGTCACAAGAACTGAATATCCATCAAAAACAAATGCAAGTTGTTTGGAACTACAATATTTATTCCAACAGGAGAGTTGCAAGCTGCATTAATGATGGTCATCATCACCATGGCCATCAGGTGGTCCTCCAGGACCAACCACTTCCAACTGGAAAACATCAAAAAGAAAGAAGTAAGAAAGCTTCCACCAAATAATGAAAGCAATTGTATGGTGATGAACAGAATAACAAAAATCACCTTGTCACAATAATTATTTTGTGCAACAATCCTATTTATCTGCATGTGCCAGACTGCCAGAGAAAGGATTACAGAGTGATAGAATTTTCTTGTTTATTTGTTGGGTTGCAATGACCTTATGGTGGTTTGCCAATCAGTGCTTAAGCACATAAAGGAATTAACAACAGAGATTGGGGACATGGATCCCAGAAATTATAGAAACTATGCATGGTATAGTGTCTATAAATCGTACACCTCTCATATTAAGGGGGTGTTCTTTTTTCGGATTTTGAGAGAGGGGAAAGTTGGTCAATGGGATTTTTATTCCCATTGACTAAGAATCCCATGTTCTTTTTCAGATTTAAGTGGGGACCAGGGAAAGTTTATTTTCCTGGGTACCACTTACCCGAGTAAGTGATACCCATCTCATAGGTGGGTAAATAACTTTCCCACAAAGGGGGAAAGTTGCCAACACTTGAATGGGTCAAAAATACCCCTTTTAATAACGGATTTTTATGGCTAAAATGGTCATTGCCTTATTTATATAAGAAATAAAAGAACATGGATAAATGCACTTACCTGGGTAAGTGCTTCCCAGGAAAAACTTACCCAGGTAAGTAACTTACCGAAAAGCGAACAGGGCCTAAGGGCCTATTCGTTTCCTCTTAACTCTTATCTTTTAAGAGGAATCTTTTAACTTTAAGAGAAAAATGGTTGTTCGTTTCCTCTTATCTCTTATCTCTTAAAGTGCAATCATACAAGTTTTTGTTTTCCAATGATACCCCAAAAAGGACAAACAAAAACTCTCATATATGGGGTCAAAATGGATATTTGATAATTTTCAGAATTCAGAATTCAGAACAACATTCTCTACATTCAGAGATCAGAGGAAAGAAAAGTTCACCAATACCAATATACCTCTTAATGTAATTATTGCACTTTTAGATGTCAGACTTCAGAGCAAACGAACAGGCCCTAATACTACTAATGTTGTTGCTCGTGATTGAGATTACTATGGCTGCTCAACCTAAAATGTCTATTGGAGATTTTATCTTATTTTTTTTATTTCTGATAAAGTGCTACTAATGCAAATCCAAGTTGAATATCAGTTTAGTCTCCTACCCATACCTCACTACAGCTGTACATTGAGAACATTTCCTGCATTGCATGTTCATGGGGAGATGTTCCCAACGTACAACTGTAATGTCATGTGGGTGGGTGTGAGTAGGATTCTTGTGGGTAGGAGATCTGAATTGGTTGAATACATGACTTTAGAGCATAAAGCTTGGAAATGTGCTAGTGACCAGTTTGAGTGTCATCCTCAACTTACCACAAAATATTGAGAACACACTGGACACTCATGTGGCTTGCCTTTCTCCAGCCAAAACCAAACAACATCATGCTCATCCTCTGCAAATATATGAGAATCATATTATACAGTAGAAAAAACAAAATAAAAGAGAAATGATGCAGATTTCATCAATAAAAGGAAGAAAAAAGTGGAGAAAAATAAAAGCATTAAATCTACCTCCTTCACCACCAGGGCATCCAACTATTCTTTTGTCATAAACAGATTTAATAACAGCTGGTGCTTCCTACAAGCATAAACATGGCAAAAATCTAAATACATGACACGTTCATGAAATCACAGAATGCAAGAATGGTCATGGCAATGAATAATAAATTAATAATAGATCACCATCATTAAGCACAAAAGAAATCTGGAAAAAACAAAAATGAATATGTAAGGGAGATATAGCATGCAAGGTTGCTGTAGAAGACAATCATAATATCCAGTGGTAAAGAAAACATTAAGTAAAAACTAAGAAGATAACCGTATGGTCTTTCCAGATCATTATGTTTTCTGTTTCTCTTACAAAAGTAAGATGTTTTGATGAGTATTTTGGCATTTGGCCATGTTACAAACACAAAAATTGGTAAGCCAATATTTCCCAGTTGAATAAAGGGGCATATCCAATTTGGTTATGGCCATCTAGGGCCTTGGGGTAATTACCTTTTGCTGCTTTTTTATAAGGTAATCAATTGCACCACAGAACTAATTCCCTCTTACTGCTTTTTGCATAAGGTAATTAGATATTCATCATTTCTAAGAGGGTTCAGTTCACTACTCCTAAATACCCCAGATAGCCAATACCAGCATTGAGTAATGGCCTTTTCATAATCAATTGCACCACATGATCAGTTCCTTCTTATAGTTTTTTGCATAAGATAATTAGATATCATGTTTTATCCTTATTTTCTCTATATATTTGTTGTTTCTGATAGGATCCAGTTCACCACTCCCAAGTTCCCAAATAGCCAGGAGGCCCAGGACCAGCATTAGGTAATATGGCCTTCTCTATATTTTTCATTGAGAACATCCATATGCTTATGGAGGATGTATCAGTAACTAGTGGTAAATAAGTTTTTAAAGGTAAAATGTACATCTTGCTTGGACGTTCATTGGAAACTGAAGAACATAAATCAAAAGAACAAATCCTAGAAGTGTATCTATTTGCACCAAATATTAAGCAGCAGTCCTGTTACAACTCTAAAATGTAAACCAAACAATAGAAAGAATCCTCTCAACAACCAAGACAGAAATATGTACACATAGAACCCAAAGAACAGGGGTATTCACCAAATAAATAGCTTCAGCAACAGCCACTTCACAAAAGAATGACAATTACATTAATTATTTGTTGCCTTTGACATTTTTGTTAACTACTGAATGAGTACCCAGTCTACCCTCCCCATGACCCTAATTATCTGGGACTGTCATTGAGTTGTGACCTTTTATTAGATGAGTCATGAGTAAATTCAATGATCCCTCAAAACTTGGTATAATTTGAAACAAACACATAACATCCAGAAAAGAATCTGTAGTTTGGCACAGAAAAGCACACAACTGCAAATATTATTTGACACATTGAAAGTTTGAGGGGCTATAGAAATATATTATACTACAGAGAATGCACAAAATCACAGAAACCATGACACTAAATTCACCATGAGCTGTTGACAAATCACGAGATAGGAGCTGAATTATTAAATATTGTAGCAAAGGGAAAATGGAAGCACTTCTCTACTTTATGAGGACTAAAATCTAGCAAGATCAATGCTGATAAAAAAAATCTAGTAAGATCAAGTGAAGTTATGAATGTATCAAAGAATTAGCAAATCTGTGAATTCAGTACCAGCGATTTAAAAGGCGCACCTAGGCGCACAGGCACAACCCTTTCAAAAGGCACACGCCTGGTGCACCTAGGCATGCGCCAGATGCGCCTTGTGCCTTTTGAAAATTGGACACTTTTTTGCTTTTTTGAACCTAGCAGCTGGGCTGGGGGCTCTGGCCCTGGACCCCGTGCCACACCCCTTGAGGCAAGCCCAAACAAGTCCACCGGAGCTCCGAGAACCCCCTATTTGGTAATGTTGTTCATTCATTCATCCTAATAGAATATATTCTTAAAAAGCAATTAAAATTATAAAATCATTATTTTTGTTGAGAACTAAGAATTTAAGACCCTAACATGGACTTCTTTGGGCTTGCCTCAAGGGGCGTGGCACAAAGGTGGCTCATAGAATCAGGAATATAATATGCTTTACATCACATTAGCTACTTGAAGTAATGCAATTGAGGAAACTGTTTTATATGTTTGATTTCATTTTTAAATTCTCATTTGAATATGCTTTACATATTATGTTTATGTATTTTAATTTTCGATAATATGTTTTTTAAAACATTTATCTTAAATTTTTAAATTTAAATTTATATTTTTTATTAATATTATGTTTAATATTTTAATTTTTTTAATTTTTAGATTTTTTATTTTCTGACTTTTTTTAGCATTTTTTTTAATTTTTGTGCCTTGCTTCAAAAAGGCGTGCCTCGCCTTGCGCCTCGGGCACAAATTGGCCCCTGTGCCTTTTTTGCGCCTTGTACTTTTAAAACATTGTTCAGTACAGATTAAGAGAATGAACTGTTAAGACCAGGAACTCATGCTGTGGTGGTGTGGTGATGATAATGGCAACAACAATGATGATGAAGATGAGATAAAATTTAAAAAAAAAAAAAAAGTTCTTGCCTTAATCTATTTTCCAAATCCAAGGTACTATCTGTATATATCTTCCAAGTACTAAACTTACTTTTGTTTGTTCTAAGTATGCCAATATGCCACCAGCATTAGCATTCGATGCATGAATAAAATATTAGAAGCATATATGGTTGATTTAATGTGGTTAATATTTAAAAACATCCTTCTCTTAACATTACGAAATTCTTTGAGTACTAACGTTTTTAGAGTCTGCAAGTCCTACTCAAGGTTCAAAGTATTGATACAGTATGCCCCATATCGGGCGTATTGTATCTTTTGGTCTCAATATACCTATTTACAGGTGTTTTGGGACCCCCATTTATTTCAATGAAAGACCACTTAAGAAACAACTCCAAAAATCAAATTTTGAAAAAAATAAACTAAAAAAAAAATAATTAAGCGGTGAGTACACCCCCGCCGATACACAGGGGTGTATCAATACTTTGAACCTTGGTCCTACTTCATTGCAATAAAAGCAATCCGCCTCTCCAATGGAAGAACAAGTCTGCAAAAGGTATTTCCTTTCTACCAAAGTGTCACTCCTTTTGCTTGCATGCCACATACTCAACATAATATATATATTAGGCACAAAGCTGAACATGCTATGTTACTAAAGCAACCTATGGGAAATCACCAATCATAATGTTTCTATTTTTTGTTGGTTTATTAATCACAAACAGCCATTAGTCTGACAAAAAATCCTTCCTTTATTTCTATAGAGTTTGTATTTTGGACTGATGATCAAGTATGACACTTAAGTTGAACATATAGAATATGAACAGAAATGCTTAGATCAATGTGTTTGGTTTATTGAAGGCTTAGATTACAATTAATATATAACATAGGTAGACAGTAAACTACATCTATATTGTGCTTAAGGTCCAACCTATTCAAGATCCTCATAGCCTGCCCAGAGGGGAAATTCAAATGAATTAAGTATAAATCAACAACATATAGCTCTATATGTAGTTGAGAATACAATCTATATTGCTTCAGATGACTAGAATATTTTTCTCCCTAGATAGGCATGACACTCTTTTCTCATAAATATATAGTCCAGCAAGTTGACATTACGAGTTCAATGTTCTTGTCTCTAAAGTTGACTCAAAAAAAGAGAAGAAAACAAGGAGATAAAAAGGTCCATCATCAGAGTGATCTTCTAGAAAAAACGGAATCCACATAAAACGAAGAGTCAATTAGCATTAGTGTCACTCTTTAACTGATTAAAAGAAACGTTATGCATTGGCGTCAATGACTGATTCACCAAAAGTGGTGGATTTAAGTAACAAACATCGATTTCAATATGTTAAGAGTAGGAACAAATTAGCATTTCTCTCTAACCTCACCATCTGATGTAAAAGGTAATATGCATTAAAGAAAATCAAGTTTAGGGAATCACAAATAGAAATCAATACTAACCTTGGTACCAAAAGGACCAACAGGATAATCCATTTCAAGAAGATTCCTTCCCTAAACAAAAAGATAAAAATACAAATCATAAACGTGTGTCAAATATGGCAAATCAAATACCAAAGCGCAACCAACAACATCGACGAATTGAAAAAATAAATAAATAAATAAAGGAAAGAGGAAAAGGCAAATTACCTCAAGCTCTGCCTCCAGCTCTTCCCGCTCATGTCCGGTGGCTATGGGAATAACATCTTCCACCCTCTTCTTCCCTTTGGACAGAATAGTATCTGCCGCCAATTCAATCACGAAAACACATTCCCGTCAAAGACAAAAGCCTATCTCTCCCTCATTTCCACACAAACAACAAAACCAATCTAAACCAGAGCCATACGCCACTAAAAAGATCTAAAAACAAACCAAAACTTAGGGTTCCAATAAAATCGTTACCGGCATCGGAAGTGGCCTGGTGAGAAAACAAAGGTGCAGTTCTCTGGAACGGATACGGTGCCGATGACGAGGACAACGAAGTGAGTGCTCGGTTTCTTAAAATCTTCTCTCCGCTGATGACGGATCGATCAAGTTTCACAGCGGATCTCCATGAAACCAGAGCCTGCAAGTGAGAAGAAACCCTTCTCCACATCGTTGTAGTGAGATTAGATTCTCAGGTCGCCCCCTCCCGAGTCCCGAGTAGCGCTTCCCTCCTCTCTTCCTATTATTCTCTGTTATCAACTGGGGAACTATTTTTTTTGTTTCTCCCCAACGAATGCAGCAGCCGTCCACCTCGATCAGCATTTCTAAATTCTTTCCAGGAACAAACTTGACTAGGGTGATCGATCGGTGATGGGTGAGGGTGATCGACTCGCGCGTGGGAATCCCGAAGATCGCTAGTGACACGTGCTATATATAGAAGTCAATGGTGCAGTGGTGCTTACTGCTTGCTTGGATTGGGATAGGATCTGCTCCTTACAAACTGCGCCGCACACTGACCTCACACAACATATCAGCCGTTCACTTTGAACATCTCCTACTTGTAAATTTTTTATTCATGCAGAGATGTTCCAGATGCATCGCTGATACGTGCTATGAGGTCAATGTGAGACGCGCGCTATGAGGAGCAGACCCGAACTCGCTTGGGTTGGATACATCTTAAGCCTCCTCTAATGCGGAAACCGTTACGTGATTTCTGTGGGCGGCAGGCCGGGCCTGATGAGTATTGAGTGATGCCTCCTTGAGATTGGAAATGGGCCCAAATATTAAAAAAAAAAAAAAGACTGGGCCAATTGGCCCTGTTCCCCTTTCAGAGCCAGGAAAATCGGGCTTCAGAGTCAACTTCGGAGGTCTCAGGTTAGTTGAGCAAAGAGCACAAGTACAGATGTGCCGTCTCATAGCCATAGGTGGTAGCCCTTGCCCAATGTGATGGGCTTTGGCTGCAATCTTAAATCTGTGGGTCTGGCCCAGGTGAATAGGATGCATTTATTAAATGACCCCGAGAATGGGCCCAAGGCCCACTATGCCATTGATAACTCAAATAAGGCATTCAAGAAGCTCCCGCACAACAAAAGTTCAGTTTTTTTTGGGATATATCAGCTTAGGTCAAGACAAAATTAGAGGAGCAAAGTTAGTAGCCAGCTGGCGACCGTTTGACTATGCCAGGTTGTTCAACCATTTTTTATTGGGGTTTTTGGTAACTAAACCCTCAAGATAAATGGATCAAAAAGAAAAAGAAAGCAGCCAATCTGCTGTGGCATTTTGGCTCAGTTTGGAAGGAGTACAAATGTATTTTGTATGTATTTATATTGTTCATATTCGTATTTATAATTTTTGCAAACTGAGCCTAAAGTTTTGTAAAAAGAAGAGCGATGCTATTAAAGAATTATTTATGGTAACAAAGTTCAAGAAATATATATATATATATATATATATATATATGTTTTGCTGATGTGGCAATTTCAAAAAATAAATGAAAAAAAAAACATTCATATTGTAAAATACCCCGTAAAAGCTCATTTTCAATTCTTAAAACATATTTTTATAACAAATTACTTATTCAATAGGTTGGGCTGCACATTGACCATTAAAGCTTCTATTTACAATGATTCAAGTAGTATTAGATGTACATCTTCCATATAGCTTTAATGTCCGATGCTTTGTCCCAAGACTATCCACCAATGTTTATATAAAAAAAAAGATTTGCTCTTTTTTTATAAAGACATAATTCATTAAAGGGGGGGTTCTAAGGGCAACTTTTCGCCCCTAATATCACTAAAAACAATAATAACTAAAATAGGATAACATTTATGAAAAAATATCAAATAAGGGCACTGTAATACATTCCCCTCTTTAAACCCGTAGATTGTGCGGTAGAGACCTTCAAATGGAGAACTGAAAGAGAGAGAGAGAGAGAGAGAGAGAGTGGTTTGTCTTTATAGGGGTGTCGGATATGCACTCTGTATACCTCGATGGATTCAATTTAGTTGCAAATTCTGAATGGTAGAATATCATTGGAATAAAATAAAAAAACGATTGGTTTATTCATTGGTCTGCCCCAAATATAGAGTGTGATGTTTACTGCAAGTGCAGAAGTGCAGAAGTGTGATGTTCAAAAGTTGTAATGTAGTAGATTCACCAATTTGTAGTTGTTTGAATGGATTCACACCAAGTCAACATTGGAGTGGAGTATGGGAAATTGGTCCAGTGGGTGTGAGAGGAGGACTTAATTACAATGTGAGAGAAATAGCAGCAACAATGAAAAAGAGAAAGCAAATGGATTCTTGGTTTGTTGATGATCATGAGAAGCAGTGTAAAGAGTAGTGTTTAAACAACTATTCTTATAGAGCTTACGCTTTTGATGGCAACATAAGATGTATGTCTTGGAGCAAAAATTTGATCGATTTGCAAAAATTATTTACTGGCGAGTGAACCTTTACATTTGTTTACCTTATTTAGAACTTGGTGGCAAGACCTGAGGCTGGAGGTGGGGGAGGTTTGTCCTGCTCTTCGGTACTTCCAGAAGAGGAAGGAGGTGAACAGTGCTAGTGCCCTTGTTTGATATTTTTCAAGAAAAAGTTATTATGTTTTAGAAATTATATTAACAGGGTTATTTTTATTGATATTAAGGGCAAAAAGTTGTCGTTATCTGATAGAACCCCTTCATTAAAAGGGATTAAGGAGGATACATCAAAGAGTAATCAGAGTGAATAATAGATAACATCACTGGGACATTCAGTCTCAAGATGAGAAAGGACCACAAACCGTTAACTTTATGCGTAGATATGTCATGAGTCAACATGTTGGCGTTTCTTGGGGTATTCTTGAAAGTACCAGTGGTGAACCTATCCTTGAGAAGAAGAATGTTTGCAATTGTGATGGTACCTCCGAAGTAGGCAGAGCTACTCCAGTGGTGCAATTTGTTAATGGCTTTCATCATCAAAAGGGCATCAGTCTCAAATCTGACATATTGCTGTCTAAAATTTGCCACTTCTCTACAACCCAACTTTAAAGCTTGAGATTCTGCATTAGCAGGTGAAAGGCAAGGCATTTGTTGACCAGAAACTTTGAGAACAACACCTTGCAAGCCTCCGATAGCACAAACGATGGTTGCATCTTTAGTAAAGGGGGTGAAGGATACATCATATTTGCATTTGATCCTGTCTCTTGGTGATGGGGTCCAAGTGGCAACTGATCTATCAAAAGCATGATGGGAAGACAGGGCCTGTGGGCTTGGAAGATTTAATAGTTCATCCAAGAGAGCCTAGCTTCATTCTATCGCCTTGAGTGGGGACCCTAGCTCCCCATGATTCACCCAGTTGTTTTGGGCAATCTAGATGTTCTAGCATATGATACTAAAGAGTGTGGGGACCAAGGAAGAATCATCTCCTATAAAAATTTGAGAACAATCAGCTTGAATGAAGTGCCATTGGGTGCAATATCCTGATTTCATTGTGTAACTTCCATCTTGAGTGTAACTCAATGATGGAGTGTCTAGATGAGCTCAATCTGAAAGTGGGGTAGAAACAAAACCCTCAACTTCAATAGGACTGAATAATTCAATAAGATTAGTAACAAACTAGAGACTTAAAAGTATATGGACATCTAGTCGGAGGTGACGTTTGAACTAAAGAGTTGGGAGAAAGGGAATCCACGGGTTCTTGTTAGATCCTCTCCAAATCTCCACTTCCAATCCTCCAATATAGGCCATGAAACAGTATGTCTCTACCTTCAATGGCACTCCACCATATAGCTAGGAGGGGTTGCTACCAATGTCTACAACGAGTAAATAACCGATTGAAAAGTATCTTCCTTTGAGGATTTTACACCACAGAGAGTTTGGCAATGTTAAGATTTTTCTAGGAAAATTTGGGTAGAATACCAAGCTCTCTTATGTTTTTACTACTACAAAACTATAACCAATTGATCTAGGTGAGAATTCATTCATCATCTTGTGACCACAAAATAAGGTAGAGCACTTATTATTGATCTAGGTCAATAACGTGCTTGGACAAATTGAAATGACTCACGACATAGTTCAAGGAAGAGGTGATCACTAATTTTATCATTACTTCTTGTCCAGCTTGAGAGAGAAGAGACATTTTCTAGCCTTTCATCTTAAACATTGCCTTCTTTATGATAGAGTGAAAGATTTTGCTTTTTTTTTTTTTCTTTTTTGCTTTTCCATGATTGATGGAAAGCCCAAGGTAGGTTCCCAAGGATTCAACTTCCTTTATACACAGGGTTCTAGAGAGAATCTTATGGAACCGCCTGGGGTATTTTTTGAGAACATTATCTCTACTTTGTTCTAGTTTATCAATTGGCTTGAGCTATTACAATACCCATCAAGAAGATTTCTCAAGGTTAGGTAGTTTTCAACATCAGCCTTTGACAAGAAGATGTAATCAGCAACATATAATAAGTGAGATAGGATTGGGTCGCTTTTGCTAAGTTAGATTCCCTAGAGAGATCCTTTAGATATCACCTTATTAACAAAGCAAGAAAGTGCATGTACTACAATGATAAAAGAGCAGGGGAAAGAGGGATCCCATAAGTGGGGTGAATGTTCTCTCCACAAGATTTGTTAAGTATTGAAAAAAGAAATAGCTATGAAAATACATTAGTAGATCATATCTTGCAATTCTTGAGCAAATCCTAGTTGCTCAAGGACTGACATGAGGAAGGGCTACTCAAGCCTATCGAAGGCTTTGTTCAAATCAAGCTTAACAACCATATAATATGAACATCATTTCTTCTTTGTATTAAGATAACGAAAATCCTTAAATGTTGTAATAACATTGTCCAAGATACATCTATTTTCAACAAAGGCACATTGGTTCTAAATAAAGATACAAGAGATAATAGGCTTTAGGCAATTCAGAAGGCATTTTGATAAAGTGTGATGACAAACATTAGTGAGGTTGATGGCTCTATAACCTATGATGTTAGATGGCTTCTTGACTTTAGGGATTAGGACATTGTTTGTACTATTAAGAGCATTGCTAATGCATCGATCCTTATAAATCTTGAACCATATATCTAAGTGATGTCATCTCACACTATGTACGGAAATTTCTGATAAAGCAAGGCTTGAAATCCGTCTGGGACTGGTGCTTTTAGTGCACCAGTAGAGTTAGTAACAAATTTAATCTCCTCTAGAGAGATGCTACAAAAGCTTTGAGCTTATCTCTACTGAAATTAGAAGAATTGTGCTGGAGATAATTTTTGGTCCATATCAGGAGAGCTTGTAGGGAAAAACTATTGAATGTGGTTAATCCAAGTGGATTCAATCTCGAACTCCGAGGCTAGCCACTCCCCATTCTAGCTCTTACTTGTAAGAATTCTATTCTAGTGACGTCTATTGAGCACTAGCTGGTGGAAGAAACCGGTCTTTTGATTGACTAAGGGGGAATGCTTTTGATTTCCTCCCAAACCAAACATTTGTAGTGGAGAACTGGGCCTCTATGTAAAGGTACAATGCCATGTATCATCAAGATGATGAAAGGTGATGATAGTGTCCATAAGCCTCTCTCAGGCCGATAAGATTTCTAAACAACTCCTTGTTGCCATACAATTAAAAGTCTGCTAGCTAGGTTCAGAGCCTCTACTATAAAGTGTTGAATCAAACCAAAAAGGTTTAAATTCTTAGTAATCCTTTGAGAAGGTATCTTAAGCTCCATGAGGAAAATAAGGATTAGGCGATAACTGGTGAGGTCTGTGGTGTGAAGAGTAGGGTTGTTTTAGTAAATAAACAAGACAAGATGTAAATTGTCTTATTTGCAATGATGTGAGCTCTAGCCATGATGGAATTGTAGTTTGTTACCTCAGGAGTGCCAAGGACTATTGAGATTCAAGTTGACATTCTATCCTACGATTGTCTTAGAATCACCTTTTTGTTGATACGTCGTACCTCTTTGGAGGTGTGGTTGCTAAGGTTTGTGTGAGCATGTGCCAAGTGTCACCATGGGATGTGATATAGGAGATGCACATGATTCCATATTGATTTTGGGTGCCAACCCTTGGGTTACTTGGTTTCTCTATAAAGAGTTTTGTCTTAACTTGTTCTTACATAATTCTCATTCTTGTTGTGGCATTCGGCATGAATTTGTGGTTCATAGGCTCCATTGACATACTTCCTTTTATCAAGATCATTGTCTTCATCTTAGAAACTCCTAGGACAATGCTTTCCATCCTGTTTTATGTGACCACATTTGTAGCACAAAGTAGGAAGCTTCTCATTGTGGAGGTCTAGCCATAGGTCCTCCTTGTCTTTCCTGTTAAGTGTTTAAGAGATCCATGTAGACCCTAACTCATAAATAGTAAAGCCATTTGCCTAGTAGAGGGGTGAAAATCATTTTAAGTTCTCCTGCCAAGTTTCCTATTCTTCAGGCCAGAGTGTCCATGAAGCAGAACCAATGGATTTGTACCCAGAAATCGCCATGAGTTAGTTGAGCATCTTGAATGTTACCTTCGGAGCCGCATCTTGAAATGTTATAAGGTTATTCATAAAGGACCATAGACTTTATTCCACAAAATCTTTCATATCTTACCAAAGATTGATGGTTTAGAGGAACTTATCTTCCAAAGGGTCGCTAACTGTAACACCAACTTCGGTGGTTCACTGATGTAGACCTGATAAACGAGGGTTTTCATCCAATCAACATTATAGAGGCATTTTCCAAGGGATTACCTCTTCATGGACTCCATCTATATTTATGGTGGAACTTTCCAACAAGTCTGGAGGATCTTCAAGTATTGAATGTGAGGAGGAAGCACATGCCATATTAGGGTCATTCTAGTAGGGGAAAAACTAGTAGTAGAATCTACCTTAGAAGTGAGGGGAGAAAAGGAGAACTGCTACCAAAGGAGTGGAGAGATAATGGTTACTACGAGAGAAACGGAGAGAGGAGGAAATAGCTACCCAAAGGAGTCGAGGCTATGTGTGAAAATTCGGCCTAGCCAATTTCTAGGCTTGATACCAAAAAAGTTTGGTTGAACGGAATTGGAATCTAACTTCCATTCCTAACGGAATGATATCCCCTCCCCCTCTTAGGAATGAAATTTTCATTCGGAATGATATCCCCTCCCCCTCTTATGAATGAAATTTTCATTCCAGCTAATTCCGAGCTCAATTCCCATCTGAACCAATGAGATAGGGGAAAGAGACCATTTCAATTTGATTCTAGGAGGTACTAATTCCGAATCATATTCTAACCATAAATGTAACAAACCCAAAATCTTATGCTCAAAGGCCAATTTATTATGTACCTTGCGATCACAAGACCACTCTTAAGAAACCATTGAGATGCCACTATAATTCTGATTCTCATTAACCATAAACCAATATGTGACACCATGTAAATAGGAATTGCAATGGGCGAGTTCAGGGCAAGGACCAATTCCAACTTTGAAACAAAGCCCCATCCCCAGCCCCGATCATCGTCGGGGATAAAAATTACCTCCATCCCTGATCTACAACAAACACAAATTCCCCATCGGGGACCCAAATCATCAAAATATTCAATTAAAATTATTTTTGAAAACAGGTTTACTTAAAATAAGAGAAAGTTTTTTTTAAATATAAGAATATTTTAAATATCTTTTGATATATATATATATATATATATATATATGTGTGTGTATATAATTGGGGCTGAAGCAAGGCGGGGAATTCATTCCCCAGCCCCAAGCAGGTATCACTATTAATCATCACCCTCACCCTGTCCCTCCCTCGCAAGGCAATCTCTTAACCCAATGGGGTGGGGGAAGCCAAGTACACGATGAGGAGGCGGAAAATTGCCATCCCTACACATAAATCTACATGCCTCTTAAGTCACAATCATATACATGGGCATGAGTCCAATCAATTAATTGTACTTTGTTGCTTCGAAAAGAAAAAAACAAATAGCTTAGAGTTTCATTAGTGACGTGCCAAGATGAATTACACATTGAATCATCACACAAACATTTGAACATGTGGTTTCATTGTTGATGTTGCTCGACCCTGGGTAGTGCAAGAACCAAGGTCACAGTCAGATAATCCTTTTCAACAGGGCAGAGCCGAGGTAGAAGGATGAAGCTGTGCAATGAGATCTGTGAACAAGAAACTGTCAGAAGCCCGAAGAGTTATCCCTAGGTAGATACTCCAACGCTCAACTCAGTAGAGTGTAGTCGGGCCGAGCAGTTGGAGAACAATGCTAGTTCGAGCAATATAACGGTGTAAGAGCTAGAAGTTGGGATCCTTAACCTCGAGTGAGGAGTACCTTTTTATAGCAGAAGGCTCGTGTCCTGATCGGATTAGGCTTTCAGGGTTGCTAGGATGAGGTTAATCGCTGAGGTCTTCAGGATGAGTCATAATCCCCAGCGGGGTTGTCCCCTTCCGCTCTCCTGCTCTTGGTTGTGATTATCCACACGACATGGAGTCGACGTGGTTGAGAGGATAAGGTAGGGACCACAGAAGTAGCATAGCGTTGTCGTGGCCATGGAGTCGGTGTATGCCACTGAGATGGTAGCGCGGCGCTGACGTGGCCAAGGTGACTAGGTGGCCACGTGGCACCCAGAGCCAGCTCATCCCTGACCCAAACAATTGTGATATGGTATATTCATCATCTAGGACAAAACTAATAAATTAAAAGGTAAAAGACTTAAACATACCTGAGTTTTTTCTAATATACTTAATTATACCTTGTGAGCGGATGCCACTAGACTTAAACATACCCTACATCAGTGAAAGAATTCATTTAAAATTTTTTAAATCTTATTTTGCCCTTCTAAACAAGAAACAAAAGAAAAAGAAGTCAAGTGGAAGAAGAATTAGAAAAAGAAAGCACTATTAAAAATGTCTAATATTCCATAAGAAATATTATTAGCAAAGGGCACATAACTAGTTCTCGTAAACCAAGACAAACTATAGAACATTTACAACATAGAAGATTAGGTCGTTCTAGTTAGGGGCGACCACAAGCCAAGTTTTTCACAAATTATTTGAGCTTGGCTCATTAAAAACTTGATTCGGCTTGATCTAAACTGAGATTCAATCTGAGCTTAAGCCCAATATATAGGCATGTTTGCTAATCAAGCCGAGCTCGAGCCCAATAAAACTCGGCTCATGAGGCTCACTAGTCTAATCGAGCTTATACATATAGAGAATAATATAAATAAAAAATAAAAATGTTATAAATAATATCTTTTATTTTTATATATAATAATTACTACTTTTTATAATTCTTAATTATTTGGATGCCAAATAAAAATAATTTTTATTTTTTTTAAATATTTGGCTCACAATTAAGTTCGAGCTTACAAGCTTTTGACCCAAGCCAAACTGAGCTCGAGCACCATACTTTATTGGTGAGCAAGCTCGAATAATTACAATATTCAACTCATCTTGACTCGAATCCACCCCTAATTTGAGAGAGAGATGCAAACCTATATAGTCGACAAATAGGCCTACCGATGAAATAATTTTACCTATAAAATTATGTTTCTACTATTTGAGAAACTCTTTCAACTCCAAAGGAAATCCTTTTAATCTCTTACAATGTCACCATTTTAGAAGATCCTTGGCAACTCCACCCACTCCATTTATTGCTTTTAATGTTCTCTCTCTATTTACCCATTACTGTACTCTTTTTGGTTATTCATTTTTTAATCATTGGTTTAAAAAATCCCGAATAAAATTTAATTTTTAAAAAAATGGAATAAAAGAGCCAAAAAATAACACTAATGGGCTTTCTCAGTGGAAAAAAGGGAATAATCTAGTAAGACAACAAGAACACTGAAACTAAGACGGACCTAAACAGAGATAAAACACAATACCATTAACAGCAAATTCAACAAGCTAGAGCTCAGCCAGCGTACTATTAAAAGCATCCAGGTTATTGACATCTCGATAGGTCTCTTGAAGCCATCCTTAAATTTCCGAAACACTGTTATGTAAGTACCCTGAACCTATTGGTTACTAGTTGGTAACTACAAAAGAGATGTATAGCGGTTCCGGAGGCCGGAGGGGCAATATAAAGTGGAAGGTCTAAATCAGTCCTCAAAGAAGATGATAATTTGAACAATCTCCAAGAATCCGATCTACCATAAAAACTACGTTAAAATAGGTCTTCCATATCACAAAGTCTAAGCCTGTCCAGAAAATCAAACATGGAAGGCCGGAATCCATTATCCATTAACACTCTCAATTACAACAATTTAATATCAACGTCAAAGTTATCATCCTAAACTATATCAACCGTAACCACTAATCATGCTAAAGCCGATAAGTAGCGAAATAGCCTTGTAGCGCTTCTCTGCGGCAAGGTAAGAGGGAGAAACCATCCACTCTCCACTAAACACATAAGCCTTTAATTTCCAACTCTGCACATAGTTCTACCTCTGCCCTGAATCGGGAGAACCATCTCCGTAAGAAACCAGGCCCTTCTTTCCATCGGGGCTACCAGAAGATGATCTGGATCCATCCTTGCTTGCATGCCTGATAGGTGAGGGTGAGGAATCTGGACTCCTTGACAAGGCCGGGTTCCTACTCCTGCTCCTGCTCCTAGAAGGTGATCTTCGTTTCTCAGCTCTTGAGGACCCACGGGACCTAGATTTTTCAACAGGAGATTTGCTACGCACTGGACTGCGACTATAACGGCCTCTCCCCCGATAGCGAATCGGACTGCGAGACACACTACGGCTACGTGTCCTGCTTCTTCTGCTCCTGTATCTGTAAATAGGTTTTCAAAATGGACAATCCATTTTAGTGGAAAGATCATTACCGTCTAGCATTATAGCATGTCAAATTGAAACTAAAGACTGCTAAGGTTCCAATGCAGTTTTTCTTATCAACACAAGCACAATCAAACTATGAAAAGATGGGAATCAACACATGGTACAAACAAATGTGCCTAAACAGTTTTCAGTAAAAGTAGTAGTTGAGACATAATCAGAACAGAATAGAATATAACCATTTTCATTTGATACAATGCAATTAAGCAATAGAACATCTCAGGACACCACAGATATAGACATAAAATATGGAGCTGATCATGAACTTTTCAGGTACAACCTTCACCAGAAATATCACATCTCTTGATCACGCTTAGATATCTATAAAATCATTCATTCCTGTGGCCCATTGCAAGTACATCTTCTGTACAGATGCATTGTCCATTCTAGAAACCGTGCCCAATAATAAGACGATTCATCTTGAGTTCAGGTTTCTGAGCTTACAGCATAAGATATAAATACGTGTGGTTTTATATTACAAATCTATTATCCAGGAAAAGTATTTGGCAAGACTACAATAAGCTCAATATTGACTTGCACCAACATCAGAAGTTCATGTAGCTGAACCCACATGGTTGAGCCTTGATATAAGGCTAAAATGATGACGACGATGATTACGGTGCACCAATATAGATATAAGTATCTACTCGTAAAAAAATAATGTCAAACCAGTAGCTGCTTTTATTAATAAAAATAACACAATCTGCAGTTATAAAGAACAAGAATTATGCAGAAGATATCAAACCTTGGAGGAGTTCGGCCTCTTGGAGGACTTCTATAACGCCTAGGTGATCGATCAGAGTAGCCCCTATAGCTTGCATATCTGGTCACAAGGACAATACATTCAATATCGTTAGCAGTTAAATAAAACCAATCCAATAACATAATTGTACAAGACAGAATTCAACACTCTTCAGAATGCTCTTTACCGGTCACGACTATAGCGAGACCTAACAGGAGACCTATCTGGAGATGGTGTCCGATATCGCCGTGCATAAGAATATCTCTGGCTGAAACCCCGTCCCCTCCGTATACGCTTGGGAGATTCATCAGGTGAAACACTTCTTGACAAGCTCCTGCGGCGCCCAGGGCTCACAGGACTCCTTGAATAGCTGCGGCGATTATTCCTGCTAGGCGCTCTTACTGGACTTCTACTAATGCTTCTTCGAGAGGGACCTCTCACTGGGCTCCTACTCAAGCTTCTTCGTGGGGACCTCACAGGACTTCTACTTACACTCCTCCGTACAGACCTAACAGGGCTTCTACTTACACTCCTCCGTGCAGATCTAACAGGGCTTCTGCTTATTGTCCTTTGGGCGGGAGCTCTTGGAGGAGTCTGGCTAGGGCTTCTTTGTGAAAGAGACTTCATTGAGCCTCTGCTAACACTTCTTTGTTGTCGAGCTCTTATTGGACTCCTACTTATGCTTCTCTCCAGTTTGCTCCTCACAGGACTTCTGCTGATACTTCTTCTAGCAGGACTCCCACTACTAACGCTTCTTCTATCTGGACTTCTGCTAATACTCCTGCTTCGATGCGATGCCCGTTTGGGACTTCCATCAGCACTTGGTGTTGGACTCCTGGTCATGCTTCTCTTGGGGCTCACACTTGGACTCTTGCTCAAGCTTCTCCTAGGACTAATACTCATACTCTTACTCATGGTCCTTTTTGGGCTCATGCTCCGGCTCCTGTTCATCATCAAACTTTAGTAAAATGCCAGATCTTAAAAGTTGACAAGCATAAATAACTAAGCATTAAGAATTGGAAAACCTAGATTTGCTTGGCCGATCATCCACTACATCAGGCTGTCTATCTGCACTTCTGTCAGTTCTAGCTGTTTCCTGAATTCCATTGCTCTGCAGCTCCCCATTTTCCCTTGGGGATTCATCTTCATGTTCAACCATATCAGTTGCTTCAAATTTCTTCTGGCGAGCAACAGCACCCTCCTCCTTGGTTAAAGGAGATTGATTTGTAGCTGCAGCAAAGTTATACAAGAAGAGATGCTATTGGATACATAATCAAACTATATGGCATTGTAGTATTATATGCAGGAACTCTCTAGACAAGTACAAACTAGGACAAATTGTAAAGTACAAAATCACTAAAAAACAAACACAGAAGCTGAAGCTGGAAAAACAATGGTTGTGAGATTATATAGGCAACAGGAGGGATAACCACATTGAAAGATGAAGCTCAACAAAAAGACAGGCACAAGACTTCATTTGACCACAAGATGAATAACCATGGGGGAAGCTTAGGCTCAAAACAAAATGATTATAGGATTTCCTCCAACAATTAGAGGGATAACAATGTTGCATGATGAATCAGGAAAAAAGAGTAAGAAAGATAGTTAATAAATTTCAGGGAGCAACAGGAAAACCCTGCAAAACATACAACTGTCTGTGACCCTAGAACATACAAATAGAAAGACAAGATATCACAGTAGTAGGACTTCCAGAAAATGTAAAAGATGTTCACAGAAAGCACTGACCATAAGACAACAAGACAGAAGCAAAGAACTCAAAATATGTAGTTTATAAAAATATAAAAAAAAAGTGAGATAAAAAACAAGAGTTCAAGTCTACCAGGCATCTGAGAAGTGCTTTTCGATTTCCGTGCTTGCCTGGGAGCATCAGGCCCATCAACCTCCGAGCTGCTTTCACTAGTACTGCCTTCAGTGTCACTGGAACTATCTGACATCCTTCTAGGAAAACAAGAAACAAAATTCAGCATTATATAAATAAAAGATACTTAGAACCTAATAGTGATTTTGTGCAACACAGAATGCTAAAAAGAAAAATAAAACCTCAGAGCTCCATAAGATTCAGAGTAATTTTGCTCTCTTATTCAGGGTACAGATAGAGAAAAACTTGACAGCAACTTAGTTCCATTTATAAGAAACTCCAACAATACCACCTTATTGAGCTGGCAAACTTACACATTAAACAGAGCTCAGGTGGAAGGGAAAATTCTCTCTTTATAAGCAATGTAGAAGGGAACACTCACTGAAGCAAAACTCTAAGCGAAAGGAACATGGTATACATGTCTGAAAATACATGGGCAGCCCAGTGAATGAGGCCCCCGCCAATGCAGGGTCTGGGGAGGGACAAAAGTAAATTTGAACAAGAACTATCAGAAAACTCGATGACATATTTGTCAAATATGCCAACAAAATCAACAAGAGAACCAAGATTTTCTCGCTTTTGAAGGGAAAAGTGCACTTTTAATCAGTTGGACTAAATATTCCACTACAGGGTTTAGTCACAGTTCCTATATACAAAAACCATATGGAATAAATAAAATCATTCATTTCTGTCTTTTCCCTTTCATGATATTAAACAGATACTAAACATGACAAAAAAAGATGCTATACTCACATTGCTTTTTCCAGAAGACATCCTGATAGAAATATGAATGCAGAGCAATAACTCTCAAAAAAAATGAAGGCAGACCAAGAATAAGATGCAACAATATCACGTCATTGTTATCCTCTAGAATTATACTAAGAAGTAATTGAAATTTTGTTGGTTTGAAAGATGGGTAATAACAGAAGATAGTCAAAACACTGGTAATATTAATTTAGTGATCACACTATAGCAACCTTTTTGATCTGCGCCTTGGTCTCTTGTCACGCCTTCTCCGCCGTTTTTCACGCCGTTTATCTCTTCTTCTTTTCCCATGTCTATACTTGTCTCTCTTAGATGACCTCTTTCTTTTCCTACGTCTGTCATCACTTGAAGAGCTAATATCAGATGATGATGATGAATATGAATCTGAGTCACTATCAGATTCAGATGTTTCACTTTCAGTATCTGATGAAGTATCCGATTCAGATGAATAATATCTTCTTCTCTTTTTCCTCTTTCTCTCTCTTGATTTCTTGTCTTTCCCCCTTCGTCTTACTTCAGGACTATCAGCATCGGAAGCATCTTTCCCTCCTTTGGATTTACTTGTTCTCTTTTTATCTGCAAATTGATCAAACCATCAAACAACAAAAACTTTTTCAAAACTGGCAAACAGAAAAGATGAAATGCTAAACAAACATAGACATGTATTCAATACACTGAGAACGTGAGGAAATTTCAATACACTAAGAAGATGTGAGGGGAATGCAGTATACTGAAAGGCATGTATTCAACACACACAAAAATGATATTGTCATTGGATCAAGACTGGTTTGTGTCATGGTAAATCTGATCCCAACCTGACAAGCAAATGTGCAGAACTAGTTCCAAACCAAACCCCTAAAGGGTCCATAAACAGGAATATTGGGTCCGACCTGATAAAAACCAATTATGATTCATGATTCAATTATGATTGAGAGCTATACTTTTAACCTGTAATTTGACAATAAACCTACTTATTTGTTAAATTGGCATATTTAAGCATCATACAAATACATCACGAGAAAAATAGGAATTTATGGTGAGAGAAAAAAACAAGTGTGAGAATCCCAATTATAATCGGGACACATAATACAAATCTAAGGCTGTGTTTGGCAAGTCTTTTCCATTTGGTAACGACAAGCTGATTCTCTTAACGGTCCCTCTCCCCATTTTGTCCAAATCTCACAAGTCCCCAAGTCCCCAAACCCCAACAATATAGTGAAAAAAAAACAACAAAAACAAAAAACTGTCATTCAAAAGTTTATCAAATAGAGATTACATATGCAAATTTGTATTACCAATATTCAGCTTAGTATTTTAGTTTATCAAATAGAGATTACATATGCAAAATTGTATTACCAATATTCACCTTAGTATTTTACCCAGATTCTTTTTTGTATGCATGTTTTTTTCTTGTAAGAATAGAAATAGTACCATTCTCCATCATAGCTGTTCCATGATTCTTTCCCTCATGGAGTTCACCACAATTAATGATTTTAACTGGAGCAGCAGGTTTTCCCTTTTCAGTACCCACACGTTCAATCTTCTTCAATGTTTCCTTTCCTTGCAAAATCTTTCCAAAAACAACATGCTTCCTGTTGAAAATAAGCATCAAATGATCAAACCATAAATATGTTTTAATTGTGCCCATGAAACAACAAAAAAAGTAAATATGCACAGTTTATCAATAAGAAATAGAAACGAAACAAACCCATCAAGGTGTGGTGTAGCCTTGAAGGTAATGAAGAATTGAGAACCATTGGTGTTGGAACCGGCATTCGCCATGGATAAAAGGCCAGGTCCATCATGATTAAGCTTGAAGGATTCATCTGGAACAATTCAGAGATTTGATGGTTATTAATGGATCTAAACCAGGAAAGATGAACCATTTGGGCTTCAGAAGTAATAGGTCAGACTTAGACAACATGATACATGAAATACTCAAAACTAAGGAAAATGTATTCTTCCTATCATGTAAGCATGCAATTTGCACATAAAGAAATGATTTGCACCAGTATAGCCAATGGGCATGCAAGATTATACAGAATACAGGGAACAGACAAGCAGGTAGCACCTTCCCCTTAACAGAAAACAAATGGATTGTGTAGCATAACATGAACCAATATATCAAGAGAGTACCTTTACCAAAAAGATCCTGGCACTAATACGGACAATCCCCTCTGTACCCAACGAGTTTTCAATTGTTCCCTTGTAAATTTCATAATAATTAAACAAACAACCAATACTTAAACCTAACATAACATGAAGCAATATACTGACACAGTACCTTCACTGAATACATGTTGGCACTTGTAGACAGACTCCACTCTGGATATCCAACAAGTGAGCATATTCTTTAGTTGTGTAAAACAAACAAACACATGCATTAACATTCAACTAAACCATAATAGATGGACTTATTTCATACACCACTGAACAAAATGTAAATAAAAAAAAAGAGTATACTTGCACATTTTAACATGATTACCTAGAAATCTAGAAAATACAAATTATAGATGATGATACCAGATATTTGCACTTTACTAATTTTACTAGCAGATGGCACTTGCATTGACTGAATTCATGTTTAATCTCCACATAGTGCACATGGCAAATACATACACATGATACAAAATATACATATCAAGTCAATTGGTGAAGCATGGGCAATCATGGTGATTCTGGTACTGGATGAATCTTCAGAGACAACTAAAATGCAAATTATTCTATACACACAACTAAGGAGCTATATTATTCATCTTATCAGGGCCCAATGGAGTGGGAGATTCAACAAGAGCTGAAATTTTTTTTGATACAAAGAGCTGAAATTCAAGGCCTGAGACTGGGCAAACATTTGGATTTCAAGAACATTATAATGAAAAGGGCCTCCCCAGTAGTGGTGTACTGGCCCATAAACAATATGCAAGGTTCATGGCCTTACCAGCAAATTTTTGAGGGAAATAAGTTATTTAAAAATAGAATCTGTTGCTATTTCAACTGGGTTCCAAGACCAGAAAATTGTTTGGCAGATTCATTGGCCAAACATCAGTGAATAGGGCTCAGTTATTGCCGCGGTGCTATCATAATGAAAGATGTAATTGCATAGCTCAGGTTTTAGGAAGCTGGCATTGGCCTAACAACTTTAGGGGTGTTGAGCATATCTGGTAAATATTCAATTCTTTTCTGCACATTACATGCATACATATAGGGGCATTGAAGGAAAACTAGCCACTGGTAGGGCTACACCCTGGGGGTCCACCCAAAATTCCTTAAACCTGGTACTAAGTCATTCTCTTTAAATTGCCAGGAACAACCATAACGTACTTTCATATGTAGAAAATAGAGATGGCACTTGGTTTGCTTCTTTGCAGAACAAGTTCACTCCAAGCCTGACCAAATTGAGCTAACAATGAAACTAATATGACTACTGGAAGAGATGGGAGAAATAGGTGGCAGGGCAAGAAACAGAACACAAACTTAAAACATGCTCTCTGGGATAGGAGATGAAAATTCCTTTATTTATTCTTTGTACATTTATTTATGTGTTTTTGCCCAGGAGGTTAAATGAGCATGGATCTCCTGAACGCAAAAAAAAAACATGTGAACATGGCATCCAGCCACCCATCGGAAAATCTCCCATACATGCATGTCTTATTCTTGGGAGGTGCTCACATCGAGCTCTCAGAGTGATTGCGGGGTTTTTGCTTTTAGGAAATCCCATCTCAGGTTAACTAAGAGAACAAAATCGGACAGGTTGAGCTACCTGAGCCTAAATTAGATATAGTGCCTTGTAGACCCAACCCACCCAGGACAACGGAGATTACCCAGTTACCCTGTAAATTGTCAATTTGTTATCCATAGATGCACAAATGCAATGTATTACACAAAAAGGACATTTTTATTGCAACTTCATATATAAAGTCATGCTTCAGCAATAAAGACTTTGTTTGCAAAGGCCCATTCATGTTTCATCTACTAACAGTAATCTAGTCATAGAAAATAATAAAATGCAAAAGCACCAACAATATATCTTCAGTTCCTCACCTGCAAACTTCCCCCCATATATGCTCTCTCCACCAGTACCTGCAAAAAATAAATAAATAAATAAAAAGATAACCTATGAAAATGATTACTAAAGGAAAAAAAATGTTTTTGCCTTTTTTATGAAAAACAGAAACCACATTTACTGTCTTCAATAAAAAGTATCCCGGAAGAAAGCCAAGAATATATGTGATGCATAAACTACAGGTTAAGATAACCTTAATGTAAAATGATCCCTTCACGATTGTTGAACAAGTAGCCTCATACTGAGAATCCACTTCCTTTTTAAAATTGGTCTGGGAAGGGATGGGATGAGAGAGAAAATTGATTTTCATTTTTGTCATCCTATGTTTTGTTGCTGATAACAATAAAAAGGTCATCACCCAATGTTGGTCCCAGCTATTGGGGTCTTTGGTGGGTAGACAGGATAATAGGACCTTGGTTTTTTTTCAAACTTGCCAGCCCAAGATTTTACCATTACACCAAGTAATGGTCCCGTGCAGAGAACAAATATATGAAAAAATTAACTTTCTAGTATTTAATTGCTGAGAAATTTTGGTTCATAATAGGCCAAATTACAGACACCCAACCTGTATTTACAGTGTTGTGACATTTAACCTCCTCTCCCCCAAAACTTGGTTCTGCAACAAATTTTACTTCGGTATTCCAACACTTTGCACCTGCCACTACCATTCTGTCAATTAATTACATGGAATATTCCCAATTTGACATACGACTGTCACGTGTGAGTTTGTAAAACCCTAAACTACCCTTATGATATTTTCTGAGACCATTTTGCCCTTTTATATTAGTTTTTCTAAAATCCTAACTCCTATGTGTTTCTATTTTTTTGATCAACTCCTATGTGTTTCTCTCAAGTTTCTTAGGAATCAAAGCTGATAGCAACTCACACCCTCTGTGGAACTACTGCTGAATGAGAACATTTTTACTTGCAACAAAATTTACTTATGGATTCCATCCCTTTGCACCTGCCACTACCATTCCGTCAGTTAATAGATGGAATATTCCCAATTTCTGCTATGACTGTCATGTGAGAGTTAATACACTCCTAAAACATCATACTACTTTATGATATCTTCAGAAGATCATTTTGCCCCTTTATCTTAGTTTTTCTAAAACCATAACTCCTATATGTTTCTCTCAAGTTTCTTTCGAAGCTGGTAGCAACTCACACCCTCTGTGGAATTACTGCTGAATGAGTAACTCATCTTCAACACCTTGAACAAGCGACTGATCTTTATATTTTGATTTACCCACAAGTATTTCAACATCTTTGGTGAGAGTTTCACCCAAACAATTTGAAAAGACATTGACCCAGTCTGTAGAAGATATTGTGCTCTAGAATGGGTGTTTTCATAATTTGTCATTACCACAAATGGGCAATTTGATGCCTTACTTTACAGTTTACACTTCTTCATGGTTGGGCTTTTGGGCCAGGCCCATTCAAATTTTGACAAAAGCCAAACCCAAATCCACCCAAGTTGCAACCCCTAACCATTAACCCTAGTAAGGCATCAAATGATCATGGCCAAAAAAGCAGGAATCCAAAAGTAGAGGGGTGTCTTTGTCGCAAAAAGTTTGGGGAGCTAAGTGTCATGTCATGACCCTCAAAGCACATGGTGGATGTCTGTAACTTACCCTGGATAATATAATTTGGTCCATCTTTGCATATCAATTTGTATGTTGAATAATGCATACATGGCAGTTACCCATTCTAGCAGCCAGCATAGCATAATTAAGTATCCATGTCATATCAAATTCACTACAAGGGTATTCACCTTGGTCACTGCCTAAACCACCAAGGCTAACAGGTTTTCCCATGGCATCAAAACAACAAAATTAACAATTAACAGGTCAATGGTTCAGTCATCTAGGTCAACAAGTCATTGACCAAGTCAACAGATTTTTGCAATCCAGCTGGTTGAACGGACCTGCAGTTGTCACCAGGTCATCAAGTCACCAGATGAACTCACTGGGTTAATGAACAGTTGAAAACATTGGTCACATGGGCATTCTCCTCAATTTCTTAATCTCCTCACCATGGTAGCACTGTTTTAGAAAGACGCCACATCCCTCATTTTGGGATTAGAAACCACATTGTTTTCCTTCTGCGCCACAAAACAAACACCAGAAAGGCAAAATGGAATCTAATGGGAATATTCCCTTTTTCTCATCCATTTCTTAGCAACCAAATGAGCCCTAAGCATTAATTCCAATCATTTCAAAGGTTTCAGAAACATGAATACATGTGAATAAAAGATGCAATGGAGATACAACACATACCATCTCCCCTGGAAAAATCACCACCCTGCAAAACAAAAATCAGTCATTAGCCCAATGTCCAACAAAAAGACCAATGTCCATACAAACTGGCTTGGGTAGGATGAAGCTCAGTAAACTTATGAGGATGGACAACTCAGTAAGTACAACCTTAAAAATTTACATCACAAGAAAAGCAGTCGTGACCATCAGCCCTGTATCCTACAGCATAAACAATGGTAACTGGCTAAAGGACAAAGGCCATCACTTCTAACTAATACTAACGAGACAAAATAATCCTTACCGATCAAAAAGAATATAGAATAAAAATGCTTGGAGGCAGTGAACGACAAACAAACCTTTCAAAAGAAATTACAGGAGTAAGAAAGAACAATTTGTGGACATACCTGAGCCATGAATCCTCTAATGATTCGATGGAAAAAAGATCCTTTGTAATGTAGATGCTTTCCAGTTGTAGAGCCAATTCCTTTTTCACCTACAAATGCATAAATTTTTAAAGAAATTAGAATTTTGTATTTATTTTTTATAGATAGAAATTAGAATTTTGTATTTTTTTCCCCTAATTTCTTCATCTACTGCCAATGAGTAAAACAATATTACAAGACCAGCCCAAGATTGTCCAACTATCAAACTATCACCAAAAAGCAAATTTCTAGTAATGATTAATGACGAGTTTTGAACTTCGTAAAATTATACAAACCCTTCCAGCCCCCAATAACAATCCAGCAGAACCATCAACCTGTGAAACATGATGTTTTGAAAGTCCAAGCACTACCAAAATAAAGCAGTATTAATGAATAAAAAAGCAATTTCTAATTAATAATTTATAATTCGGTAATAAAAGAAATCAATCACTACAAATGTAGTATCAATAAAAAACTCATTATGGGTTCATTGATCAAGAGCAAATTCAGTATTAATATAAAATGGTTGGGACTCAGGGCCAGCTACAGGTACCATTCTAGGTGTTCCTCAAAGGTCGGCCTACAGTGAAATTTAGGGAACATCTGTAATGGGAGGGAGTTACCTCTTGTCAAATCTATCCTGGAACTTTTGTCTTCTGTAACAACAAGAATAAAACCACCTCAAACCGGTCCTCCATACAAATAGAGGTTTATCTTGGAAACTGAAGCTGAGAAGAGGATTGAGAACTTCTGAAACTATGGAAGTCAGGAACCATTTGGAAGATTTTAAAAGTATTTTCCTCTCCATCCAGGATAGACAGGAATTTAGTGCCAAGCCCAAATCATTCTTCTTCTTGTGGTTCATTTTTTAAAAGACTTTACCAGAACAAGCAATTATAACAACCTTTTCCTGCTAAGGGTGACAATTACCAAAAAATGAAGGATAACGGTGACTAATAGAAACCACACACACACAAGGTCCTACAAAGTGCTCCTTCCCTACCTAGGAACTCAGCTAGAGAATTAGCTAATGTCAGAAACCATCCAAACGAGCTGTTCAAAAGGGCAGAAAGGTTTTGCCTCTCTAAACATAGGTTTGAAGGACCAATAAATTCTTTATCCAAGGACATCCACATAATTCTACTTGCCAAATAGTAACATACAAACAATAGAAAAAAGGGCAACCCAGTGCACGAGGCTCCCACCAATGCGGAGTCTGGAGAGAGACAGATGTATGCAGCCTTACCCCTGCACATACAGAGAGGCTGTTTCCAAGATTTGAACACCTTGGAGATATACTCAGCAGTATTTTGTAAGCATGGTTTATTAATGGATCTTTAGCTGCTTCATCATGAGGACAAGAAAAGGGTGGAGATATCCATGAGAGTTGTTGGATGATAAATAAATGATATGGGAAACAATAAAAAAGAACCTAACAATAAAACTGTCTGTAATACTGTACTTCAATCTTTAATACCTCAAACAAACAGTAAACAAATAAAAAGGGTATGAACTGTAATGGGGTCCATCCTTTTTTTACAAATAATGGGGTTGGGGTCCATCCTTTCCTCCATTGTATTTCTTGCTTTGAAATTTTCTAGGATAAATAATGTCTCTGTTATCAAACCCGAATAATAATATTAACAACAACATTAGGGTATGATCAAATATATTAATGTTTTTTGGACTTATGGGTAATATAATTTTAAGGATGGCTGCTAACATTAATTATGATGATATTACCCTGATCAAAAACTAAGCCTATTCATGAAAAAAATACATGGTGAAAAGGATCTCTTTTTTGGCATTACATAGTACACATTACAGGGAAATTAGGGGTAGTTACAGAGCAAGGTGCACTTGAGGCCCACTGGCCATACCACAGAGAGCTTGCAGTTCCACTGGTTTGATCCCAATCCTCCTCTTTTGGAGGAATGCCAATTGACAATATCCACTATTGGGTCATTAACATTATAGTAATAATCTATAGAAAATATAAAAAGTCTGCAAAACCTTAACAGGTCATTGCAACCATCAAATCTAATTTACCATGTCTTCCACTGTAATCAAGGATACAAAAAACACATACAAAATTAAGTCTAAATGTTATCATGTATTACCTGTACAGAGTGCTCGAAAATTTTCAGCCGTCCTCGGAACAACATCATGGAAGAGCTGCAAAACCCAAAAATCTAATCAATAACGTATACAGAAATTCCAATTTGGCTGTCCTCCCAAGGTAGTAAGAAAGAGGAGCAGGTAAAACATAGAAAATATAGCGCAGCAACACCTATACCAGCTTTTTGTTCCAGACGACAAAATTAAGAAACTAACCTCAAATATCATTTTTTCAGCAGGATCTCCATCAATAGATACATCCAGGAAGACAAGTGGGTTCTTCCTTTTAGTCATTTTCTCCAATTTCGAGAATTACAGGATCAGGTCCCAGCACTACAAATTATCTGTCAACACAGCAGCAATAACATTCAATAAGCAACCTATTCTATACCATAAAAAATAAAAGGCAAGCAAAATTCAATAAATCAATGTACATGCTACATATAACCAATACAATATCTAGACCCAAGCGCAGGTTAGAAATAGAACAATATTATACGGGAACAAATTATAAATATTGGTGGAAATTCCAAAATGCAACCTAACTAACAGGATGACGAGTATCAGAGGTCAAAGTTCTCTTTCCAATAGGCATGTAACAAAAAATTAAGAAAAAAAACAAACAAAAATAATGAATTCTACGTCCATATTCGTCGATCAAATAAGACCTCCCATAATTTTCTCCATTTTACTTTGGAGAGAATTCAGACAACAATAATGAAATCAATCAAAAGACAACAACTCTAGATCATGCATCTAGAACCTTCCTTCAAAAACTATACCGAAATAGATAGACACGGATTAGCGCAAAAAGTTATGCGTTTTGGCACATCTACGGAAACACAGTCTTTCCTCGACTGGAAGTACAACATACAAAATCGTATAATCAACGCCTACAGATCGGTATAAAACCAAAACCCTAAACCCTAGCTGATTTTCTAGACCTCCCAGCTTCGTGAAGAAACATATATCATCATGCAAGCTAACAAATCAACTACCACACCAGAAAAGAAAAAAAACAAAACAAAGCCCAGAAACTAACAATCACCAGATTACATTCAAAATCGTAAGAAACAATGCAGAGAAATTACGAGAAGTTGAGAGATTACAGAGAATATCGTGAAGAACACGGGATTTTGATCAAAAAAGAGAAGAAGATATACGGGAGAGAAAGGGAAATTAATTAAAGAAATTAAATAACGGAATATCTGAGAAACCCTAGTTCCACCTGAGATATGCTGCTAGCGTTGCTTCTCTACAGAAATCCGAAGACGGAAGAGAAACGCAAGAAAACCTAGATGTCACTTAAGCCTTAGCTTCTCAGTTGGATAAAAGTACGAAAATACCCCTACTACCGTGGGAAACAAATCAGAACCGCACTAAAATTTCCTCAGTGATGGAAGGAGGCAGTACTATTATCGGACGGCGTGTGTTAATACATGTCTCTGTCTTGGATAAGTGCATTGTCCCGGTTGTGAGGGTCAATCTGTGGAAATGTGAACAAGGAATGATTTGATGACGTGGAACTCCAGTAGCATTTTAGGGTCATGGATCGAGCCAAGTGGACCATGCAGGGTCTGTTTGTGGAAGAGAAATGAGCCAGGAAGTTTCTACGTACTCGATGCCTGAAAAAAAGAAAACGAAGGAAAATCATCATCACATCACAATTAAAAAAAAAAAACTAGCGGGACAATCTGAATGGTTGAATAATTTTATTTATTATTAATTATTTGATAAATTAATAATCAAAATTTTCTGTTAATTAATTAAAAGTATTCAAAGTTATTGTTATATAATATTTAAATTTTTAATATTTGTATTTTTATTTAATGTTGACTTACAATAAATAATTATTGTTAATTTATTATGAACAAAGATTTTTTAATAAATTTATTTTATTAATAATTTGTAGTAATTTTAATAACTATAATCATTTGTAGTAATAATTTGTTAATTTCATTATTTTTAAATGAAATTTTGATTGACTTTAAATAAATAAAAATAACTACAAAGGCTAATATTTTTATTAATTTCATTAATAACTAACAATTATATAGGAATGACAAGGGGCCAGGGCACCCCAATAAATTTTGATTATTAACAATAACTTTGAATACTTTTAGTTAATTAGTAATAAATAAAATTATTAAAATCTTTTAGATTTTCCCGTGCATTGCATGGGTCCCACTAATTTACATTTCAGCGGGAAGGTGGTGCGCAATAGGCACCTCACGAATTCGGTGCTTGCAACGTATCTGTACACACGTGGAATTGTGGAAAAGTAGAAAGCTAAGGGGTCGTTTGTCGATTTGTGCTCTATCCTTATGATGTAAGTCTAATCTAACGGTTAAAAGAACTTACGTATATAGGTTCTAATGCATGATTTGGATCAAACCATCGTCGTGCTTGCCAACAAAACCTAAGGCTTAAACCCTACACAACATCATCCAAATTGAAAATATGATCAAAACACCTCTTCCCTTGTGCACAACTTCTTTCTCTCTCTAGGTTTATAGTATCCATCAAACTTTGGCACTCATCCACGTAGATTAGAATAAGATTGTTAAGATTTAGCGTTACACCAATAACAACAACGGATTCACAAGAGGAGAGGCGATGGTGGGTATGACAATATCAGAGAGGTCGTTGAGAAGCAATGGCTAAGGCACATCGAATACATTGTTTTCTATGGCGAAGGGAATTGCATATCAACGGCGGGGCCTCCATTCATGTCAAGTAGGACATTGAAGGTTGGGAAAGGCTACTTTGAGTCAACTACCAAGTTAACTAAAAAAAATAATATATGTTGATTACTATGCTGACAAATCCACTTCCACCCTAGATTTCTCTGCTAAGGACTTGGCTAATCTTGGATTCAAACTGAATGAGATGCTCATCCTCGACACTAATTATATTTCTTCCCTAAAATGACGACTCAATTATCAAGGGCCATCAGGTAGTGATGAGTTCCCTCCACCTGTACTGCCTCTAGGCATAGGGGATATTCAAAAATATTGTTCCATGTAAAAGAGATGGCATCTCTGCCCTTACAGTTGTTGCTTCTTCAATAGGCTAGACCATGCAACAATCACCTATCAGAGTCACATGTGAGCTCTGTTCTGAATGAACTTGGATTTCCTAGAGAGCAATTATTAGAGTTGGAGTTTTACCTTTGTCACTGACTCACTGGTTTCCTTTTCAATACATTTCCCCTCTTTCTTAACTGTTATTGTACCTTTAATTTCCATGTTGTTGGAATTAGGAGTCTTATTCTTTATTCTTGTAAATTGAAACTTAGAAGATCATTCTTGATCGAGCGCTGAGTTCCATTAATGTGCTTTTACATCAACGAAGTTTACACCAAAATCAATGGCATCCTAGCTAGGGGGAAAAGTTGTAAATCAAAATGAACCATTTCCTCTCTCTCCCTCTCCCTCTCTCTCTCTCTCTCTTTTTGTTCGTTTCAGACCCCTATTCCCCCTAACCAAACAGACCATAAAATTTGTTTTCTTAATAGGCAATGCTATAAGTTATAGGAAGAACAACAATGTATGCAAAAATAAAAAGCTAGTGTAAAACCAATGTTGCCAAAATGCCCAATAAGTTTTTGCTACTTACCTGAATTTCAAGTTTTTATAAGTGCAGGAAGCTTCAAAATAAGTAAGTCACAATAGAAATCTCCTTCAAATCCATGAAGTTTTTGTGCTAAGTATAGATTTTTCATATGATTGAATGTTGTAAGAAACATCATTGGCACCACTCCAGAAGCTAAGAACTATTAATGTTTAATAAAAAAGATAGACAAGTTAAATTGAAGAACCCATCTCGATATATTATCACATGGGTTCATGTTATCCACCTCTATAAAATGCTCTAGCACATAAAGATGCTTGATCCTAGGCGAGCAATCGAGAACCTTGATGAAGTTGCAAATATTCCATTGTTGTTGTTGAAGATGTTCGACATCTGTTAATCTCCCTGACAACGAAAAACAACCCCTAAACAGTGAGTATTTTGAAGGCAAATGTCGCTAATGTCACAAACTTGTTACAAAACTTTGAGAGATTGAAATCAATTGTTGGAGAAAATGGGGTCACTGTAACTTTGGAGGAGAAGCTCTGAGGCGCGTCTGAAGACACTATCTTTAGAACGTTATTTGCCCCCACTCAGCTTCACTGAGTTTGTTGTTGGGTTACAAGCAAATTCGTTCCCAGGATACAACAGAGCCTTGGGCGAGAATTTACAACCAGCAAAGTTGACGAGTCTCCAAAGAAACCTTCTGTGAGACTGTAGCAGACCGGACAGAGAGAGAGAGAGAGAGAATATCGAGGAATGTGAGGTGATGAAAGCTGTTGATCGACAAATGGGGTGGCTTGGATTGACAACAACCAACGAGCTTCAAAGAAGTTAGTTGACATGAAAATAAACAATAAGGTAGGTTGTAGAGATCACCTATCTATATGGGAACAACTTTGTTGGTGTGGGTCTTTTAGTCTTCATTTTACAACAGAAAACCATAAATTAACAGAGGGCAATATGTATAGTACAACTATCACCCTCTACTCACAGGTTTTTTCTTGATTGTCACTGACAACAAAATCTGATTATGGTATTGTTGCATGAAGGTCTCATGTGATTTTGCAACTCCTATGACCTTGTTGGTCACTCATGGCGACAGTACAAAAGAAAACCTGAAAACATCATAGAAGAAGAAATGAAAAGTATTCTCGAGGAAAATTTGCAATTTGCATATATTGTTGACCATGCCTATATTGACACAAATCAGTTAGGGATTTGGTGGGCATGATTAGATTATGAAAATGAAAAAGCAAATTTTTTTCCTAACAATACTAACTTTTTAAGATCTCGTGGAATAAATCTCAAATCTACCCAGGATTTCGATGTTCAAGAAATTCTCGAATTCGTCACATGATTGGAGCGACATTTACCAATTTTTATCTCATTGATACTATTCACTCATCAATGTGCCATCATCATAATCATGTTCTAACATTGGGCCAACAGTTCACAATTGCTAGTTATTGAAGCACGTGTTTAAGGTTTCCATTTACCTCTTTTACACTAGAATTCAGAAGTACGAAGTCATAGTAGTCATAGTCATATAGGAAAATAAGAAATCTTCTAGTAGAGTTTTATGGTTGTCAATGGTTGTAATGGCTTCTTGGAGGAATAAGAGAGGAAATAAAGAGAGAAAGAAGAGAGAATCACTCATATGGTGCTTAGAATCACCCCAGGGCATGGGAATCACTCACCATAACTAGCATAAGTTGAAGAAAACTCAATATAATTCATTTACTTTGTGTAAAACATCCATACATATTTATAGACTCTAAACTCATAATAATCCTACGAGTCAAATTGTTAAACTCATAATAGTCTTATGAGTCAAACTATTAGACTCAATAATCCTATTAGGACTCAAACTAACTTGTCATATCCTATTTCAATTCAAATAAGACTTAGTAATTCTAACCATACTTATGTAGTAACTGAAATTTTAAACATTAACAAACAATAACTAGACAATTTAAACCCTATCATTAGACTCCATAGAAAATTGCAAACTATAACTAGACAATTTGAACCCACCTGACATTGGAGACGGGGCCGGAATGGGGTAGAGTGTCTTGACTATGGAGAAGGGATAGGGATGGGGTTCCCTTCCTTGAACCCACCTTGTTGCCATTCATATATAATTGTTAATCATTTGTGAAATTAATAAAAACGTTAGGTTTTGTAATTATTTTTATTTATTTAAAGTTAATCAAAATTTCATTTAAAAATAATAAAAACAATAACAATTATTAAAATTACTACAAATTATTAATAAAACTAAATTTATTAAATTTCAATATTTGTTCATATTAAATTAACAATAATTATTTGATGTAAATCAACATTAAATAAAAAATACATAGTTAATTAACAATAAACTTTGATTATTAATTTAATATTAATTATTAATAATAATAAATAAAATTATTAAAATCTTTCAGATTTTTTACTGCATTGCATGGGTCCCCGCTAGTTTACATTTCAGCACGAAGGTGGTGCGCAGTAGGCATCTCACGGATCTGGTGCTTGCAGTATCTACGTACAATGCATGGAATTGTGGAAAAGTAAAAAACTGAGGGGGTCGTTTGTTGGTTTGTGCTCTATCCGTATTTTAATATAACGGTTAAAAGAACTTATGTATATAGGTTCTGATGTAGGGGTGATCATTTCAACCCAACTCAGCCTGGCCCGCACAAGCCTGACCTGGAAATTTTGGGCTTGGGCCTGGGTTTTGTCCAAGCCCGAGCCCACATCAGGC